GATCCAAGACAATTTATTTAAGTCAAGAAAATTTTCTTGTTTTGATAAAATTTCTCTCTTGTTCCAAAAAATCATATATCTCGATGTAAATTTTCATTAATATTTTTATTAACTAACATGTCAAATGGAAAGATCAAGTAATATTAAATCATTTTTTTTTCATCTAATATGTATAATTGCGCGCTAAAATAATCTAAAATGGGTATCAAATATTCAAGAGAAACATTTTCTCAAGGTGAGAAAATTTTTTTCTCAGCTGAAGTAGGTGGCGCTGCTTCCCCAAAGTATCTAAAAATCTTGATCAAATATAAAAAGTTATTGTATCAAGTATTTATGATAATTTGAATTAAGAAAATATTACTTCTACCAAGAATAAAATTTCAAAAAAAATTTTTTACTTCGGCCAAGAACTTCGGTCTTCCTTCGGGCACCCGATAATTTACTTGAGCCAAGAATTTTGTACTCGAGTCAAGAAATCTTTCTTTCTGTGTATTTAGATGTTGAAAAAGTGAGAACATAATCACAAGTCGGAGAAAAAAAATGTAATTTAATTTAATGTCAGATTTATTATCTAAGCATCATTTTTGTGTTTATAACTTTTCATACTTAAACGTAAATACTTCTTGAGCCGCGTTGAGTAGAGAGTAAAATTTAGAGTGCACACGCTGCCACAAAAAATTTCTTTAAGTCTTTTTTAAAAAAATTTTCGAAGACTATTTTAAGATGACCTCACAGTGACAGAGCCCCGGAACATTAAAATGGAGCGACCTAACAATGATCTTAAAATCATCGGATAATGATTTTTCAACCATTTCAAATTCAAATTGAAAGAAGCGTACTCAAAAATTTTGCGGTGAAAAACTCTCAATATCGTTTAAAAAATGTCTAATAATTAAAATCTGCTCTCGGAATTTTTTTTTGCGTTTTAAAAAAGTCTTAAAATATTCTTAGTTTGTGTAAAGTTTAAGATATTAGACAAACGGCATTTTTAAGATACGATTAAGACACTTTTTTCACGGGATTCCAAAAAATGTTGGGACAGCACCGCAAAGCTTTGAAAATAGAAATAATCTGAAAGTGAAAAATAATTATCAAAGCAAAAACCAAATTTTTGTTCCAATGTCAGGTTAATTTATTGAAACTTTAATTTAAATTTGAACATAAATAATGAAATTGTTGCAGTATCGAATAAAGAAATATGATACAATTCAAATTAAGAATAACTTTTTGCTGCATTTACCTTACACAGTACTCTTTTTTCAAAATGTTCGTCTGTTAGACGATTGTACCTTGGTAAATTCATCATCGTAACGTGGATGAATAGTCTTTCTGCAGGAGCAGATGAAGGCAGTGGTGTATCACATTTCAGAAAAACTTTCCGAATTGACGCAAATTTTTCTAACATTTTTAGCCCAGTATCTCTACTCTTTAAGTAACGCGCCACTTCAGCTGCTGATTCACCTTGCGACAGTGATGGTTGGAATTCGGGAATGGCTGAAGTCGATTCTCCAAAATTAAAATCATCCATTACATTTTCATGGTCACCAGTCATTGATTCTGAAAAAGTTTCCGCGGATACAACTTCTGAAAAGCGTTGATGAACTAATTTTTGTTCTTCTTCAGTAAAAGATGTTAGCCAACGACCTTTAAATTGCGGATGAGAGATAGCCGCTATGAATGGATCAGCATCAAGTTGTGAAGGGTCAAATAATTTTTGAAATCGTTCGTCGACTCCTTTAATAATAGCTTCAGCAAGAGGTTTACAGTCAACGACAATTTCATCAGCGATAAAATTTTTTAAATCGTATTTTAATGAAATCAATGTAGGAAGAACACCATAATACGATTTATCGGCTTGTAATCGATCAATAGCACATGCTAGAGGTTTTGAGCAACGCACAAATTCTTTTAGAAATTGGATATCGCTAGAATTAAAAGCTTTTGGTAACTTCAACTCATTATTATCCAGAAGCTTATCTTGAACGGTTAACAACTGAGAAATACAATCAAAAGTAGAGTTCCATCGGGTAACAATAGGTCGTTTTAAAGAAATTCCTAAGTAAATTTTTAGACTTTCGTATTTTTTTGGA